CATTCAAAGAGTACATTTAAAATTGATTGAGGCAATGCAGTCACAAAATGAAGTACCAATGCTTGCTAATCTTTCTCATTGTCTATGGGGCAGTAGGTCTTAAGATGTTGTTGAGATAACTGGCTTCCATTAGCAAGTAAGTGATTGGCAGAACGATAGTCTTTTCACTCACAGGTCAACTATTTCCTTTCCTTTAGAAGAGGGCAATCCTGATCCATCTTTTAGCTGGGGTCTCTCATTGAGTCCCAATTCTCTTGCCTTCAGCTTTGATATGGTTCTAACTTTCCTCTTGTATCAGCTCAAACTTGTCATCAACTCCTCTATTCAGAACAGCAAATATCAGGAGTTTGACCTTGGGGCAAAGTCCGGGTGGGCAGGTAAAATATGACCACTGGACTTACTTCCTAATCTTTCATACCCTGCAATTCATGAAGCAGTATCGAATTCAGACTGAAAACCAGAAGCATGACCCCTTAGAAGCGCTATGAAAAGGGCTCTTTGCCTTTCTAAGTACACTTGAAACAAACTGTCAGCCCCCTATTAAGACAGAAATGGATCACAGACTGCGAGAAAGGAGGAAACACAGACACCAGACTGCGATGTAAAGAAAGGTGTTAGCACCCCCATTAGATTTGATAATATGCTTCTTCATATAAAAGTATTACAAGAATAGACTATGAAACAGCTTTGGAAAGCCAGGAACATAAAAGCACCACAGAAACTTCAGTGCATCCTTATTTAATCAATCACTGACATCTGTTAACAGAAACTTGGGTTATTGCATAGAAGGCTTCAGTCATTTGCAAGACTGATTTTATTCTTTGGTCAATTCTCATTCTTGACATTTCACCATTTTAAATGTTAACTTAGTTTAAAATCAAAGATAGTTTTTTTTAAATTTATTATTAGTTTATTAAATCTAAGTTTCTGAAACAATAAAATTCAAGTTGTCAAGTTAGTCTATAAAGGTTGAGTAGGTAAAATAACAATTAATTGCATATTCTCATTTCAGAATATACGAAATTTGAAAGTAATTAAATTTTAGCACTAATTATCAGGGGACATATTTTTAAGCCCTTTGAAAAAAGTAATGTGTCAAAAACTGGCTTATCAAAACTTTCTTTTCTGGAGTCACTTCCAACTGCATGCTGACTACCGTATTTCCGAAGGGCTTTGCACACACAGTCTTTTTTCTTTTTTGGAAAATTGAAAATTTTTTATTATTAATCATTTTATTGGGGGCTCGTACAACTCTTATCACAATCCATACAGACACATACATAGTTATTCCTAAATAATCTTTTATTCTGGAAACTCTACATCTTTTGATAAATTTAATAATTCTACATATTATACAATTCCCCATGTTTCATAATATATATTTGTCTCACTTAAAAGTCTCTTAAGAAAATACATTTAAAGAAATTATATGCCAACCAGGACTTGTTGCCTTCTGTTAGATATTTGAAAAGTAAATTTGGTCCGTTTACTCGTATTTATTAAATCTGTGTAAGAAATCCCAACTGAGCTATATGCTGCTGATGAGAAATCTTCTTTGCCACCAAATGATTATCTTTGATGGAAAAAGTAGCAGGCATCAGAGTTTTAGTTTACACTGAGCCGGCCATCTCTCCGAATAAGTCAAAGAACAGAAATTGACCACATAAACTATTTGAACCTAGTTACGATTCTGCGATGAGACTATATACTCGTTACTATCATACAAACTAGAGAATACAAATTCATACAAAATTATCACATAATAAGCTTCACATTATCTGTGACATTATTTGTAGACATCAACTCATCTCATAGTTGTCCTCTGGACTGTTGAACACATGTGCCCACTATCAGGGAACTCGCTCCAGGAAGTGGCCACATCCCACTGGGAAATGAGGATATAACCACATATTTCCAAATTGGTAAAAGACTCAAGTTTCCTCTATGAGATCATCTTGTTCAGGGAAACCGTCCTACAACAGAGGAAACTGCTTCTTATAGAAACCTGTACTATCTCTTCTGTGGTTCTCTACCTTCTTAATGCCGTGACCCTTCATACAGTTCCTCATGTAGTAGTGACCCCCAACCATAACATTATTTCGAGACTACTTCATACTGTCATTTTGCTACTGTTATGAATCGTCATGTAAATATCTGATATGCAGGATGTATTTTCATTGTTACAAATTGAACATAATTAAAACGTGTGGTTAATCACAAAAATACTATGTAATTATATACTGTGAAATATTTATTTCTAATTACAAATAAATGATATTTTGTCTTGAAGCATGGTGTAGCATGGGTAACAGTCTTCACACTGGATACTCATATGTGGGCAGATCTGCATGTGGGTGGACCTGCCTGGAGGCGGACAGAGGAGTGCTGTCTCGGTTCCTAAGACTATAGAAAATATGTGTTTTCTGATGGTCTTAGGCAACCCCTGTGAAAGGGTCATTCGACACCCCCCCACAGAGGGGTTGCGACCCACAAGTTGAGAACCCCTGTGCTAGGACGAAAGCATTCACTGCCTTCAGTTTCGACTGCCTTCCCCAGCTCATGGAGTCCCTGGGTAGTGCTAAGGGTTAATATGCTTGACTGTTAACAGATAAGTTTGAGGATCAAGTTCACTGAGAAGTACTTTAGAAGAAAGGTATGGTGATCTACTTCTGAAACATTAGCCATTGGAAACCCAATTGTACCTATAAGGCACATGATTTGGAATCAACTTAATGCCAACTGGTTTTTTGGTTTCTTAACTCAGCAAGGCTAATCATCTACAGATCGAGCTAAGCGTTTCCCCAAGTGGGCAATTCCAATCCCTGGAGGACAGGGGGTCCTCAAATGATCCAGAAGGACTGCAAAAACAGATGCCTACACTTTATCCTGGATTATGGGCTATAAGACAAAAACAATTAATTGCCAAGAAGCTTAGTCATTTTTTTTTCCTGGAAAGGGACAGTAGAGCAAGTAAGTTTGGGAACCTATGATCTAGATCATCCAAACCAGTATTCCTTATTTGGTATAATAGCTGAAGATTGATGGCAAAATGGCAAATAGATATAAACAGAAATATATTTCAAATGTTAAGAGATATAACAGAGATAGGAATGACTTTTCCAGTTTCCTTCTACACCTGATTTGAACATGAACCATTTATTTCCATGTGGTTCAGTCTTATTTTTTTCAAACCATTTTATTAGGATATAATTTAGGTGTCATACCATTCAATAGTTCAGTCCTATCAAGCAGTCTTTTTTTAAAAATCATTTTATTAGGGGCTCATACAACTCTTATCACAATCCATACACACATCAATTGTGTAAAGCGCATTTGTACATTCATTGCCCTCATCATTCTCAAAACATTTCCTCTCCACTTAACCCCGCCCCATTAGGTCCTCATTTTTCCCCTCCCTCCCCGCTCCCCCCTCCCTCATGAGCCCTTGATAGTTTATAAATTGTTATTTTATCATATCTTGCCCTGTCAGACGGCTCCCTTCACCCACTTCTCTGTTTTCCGTCCCCCAGGGAGGAGGTCACATATAGTTCCTTGTAATTGGTTCCCTCTTTCCTACCCACTCTCCCTCTATCCTCCCTGTTTCGCCACTCACACCACTGGTCCTACCTATCAAGCAGTCTTGTACAACTGCTACCACAATCATTTTCTCCCTTCCTGTACTCCTTAATATCAGCTCCCCCATGGCTCCTGCATGCCCCCAGGGAACCCTTAATCTAGCTATTGTCTTTATAAATTCAGCCATCTCAGGCTTCATATACTGAAAAACAGAAAAATCTATAACAAGAGAGTCAAAAAGGCCACCAACAACAACAAAAGGTCCACTGTCTTATAAGGCTGCACCATCAGATTGTGGGTGTTTTGCTTCTCTGAACATACTTTAAGCGCCAGAAGATGAAACAATCTCATCGTAATGTTGTGTTGGTTTCAACCTCATTCTTCTCCCAATAATGAATGTTGAAGACTGGGTTGGAATTAGAGCCAAAAAAAAAAAAAAAAAGCTTTATTCTCAAGCCCTTTCCGGGGTCAGACATCCATAACTATTCCAACCGGTCCTGCTCTAAACATCACACTGGTAGAGCCCACTCTTAGCGATGGTGGAGCCCCCACCCCAGCTGTCTCCATCCCCCAAGGAAATCGCACCACGCATAGATTTACTCATACACAGTGGCTTTCATTTAATTCTATCTCCATGTGGCTCTTCTTGCCAAGGGCAGCGGGGACTCCTGTTTTGAATTCTAGCACTCCTGAGCCCTTTACTAGAGACCTCCCCTCCTCCACGCCTGTGTGCCTCCCTGGCTTTATTAAGCCCTTAATCCTAGGATTAAGAAAGGAAGGGGGGAGGATGAAGGAAGGAGTAAGAAGAAAAAAGTGAGAGCAGATAGAAAAGAGGGTAAAAGGAGGCACAATGACAATAAAGCAGCGAAGTGGTAAAATGAAGCGAAGAGCAAAAAAGTGATCCCATTTGCTCTAGACTCAGACTTATGTGACCAGGAGAGGATTACAAGCAGTTATCCGTAAAAAGTCAGTTTTATACTTTTTTTTTCCCTGGAAGCAAACAAACCATTTATAAAAATAGCCTTCCTTATCCTTGCTGAATTTCAAGCCCAAAGCTCCTTTCTAGGTCGTCATACTTTACATTTAACTTGGGTTCTGATTTTAAGGTTAACACCACCAATTTTCATACACAGCCATGAAATCATTATGTAATAACAAAAACTTCATGTACTCCTAAACCAAAATGAAAAGTTTTATTTAGCTGTGTGCTTAGCACTAGCAACGACTAAACTAAATTGCCACTGACGGGACTGAGAAGCACAGAGGAGAGGACGGCTGGCCAGAGGAGGAGAGAGAAGCGTTGGAACACATTAAGCAGGTATCAAGGCAACAAGCTGTTTCAGTGCAAACACACATTCAAAAGGAAGGGGGGGGGAGTACGAAGTAGACGGCAATACACGGGAAAGTGTGTTATCACATCTTACTTGTCTGAGGTCGATGAACGCTAGCTGCAGGGTGTCCCCTTGGAATCCTGGGACGGGCTCAGAGCTGGCAAACACTATTGAAAAGAAAAGAGAGAATGATCATAAAGATGGCAAAATATACAAGGAGTTAACCACTAAATTAGTTTCTCCTCATTACAAATATAATAATTTCACTTAGCCCTTTCAAATGAAGACTGTTTAAAACCATCAATTCCCACTGCTGAGAATGTTTTCCACACCCACCACCACAACTATTCTAATAATTTTAAACTCCTAATCTGCCAGTTAATCACGGTAATCCTTAATTATAATATATTTAGAAGGGTTATCCTACATAAAGTTCAAGAGAAGTAACAGGCTTCAATCAAGAAGTCTTCTAACTGTTGGCCTCAGGCGAATGATTATAAAAGCATTTTGAAACTGTACCAATTTCACGGCTGTCACTGTATTTCTAAACATCTGCTTGGTTGTGGCATATGTTCTATAAAACCCCCATTCTAGCTAACAGTAATGAAAGAAAGAGACCCCAAGGTAAGACGTCCACTTCACATGCAGACAACCGGCAAAATGTTCTAAGTTTGCAAAGCCAGGGTGATCCCAGAATGTCTGTTTACACCTTTTAATAACTGAGTCGTTGGGGAAACAAAAGAATTCTAGCTTTTTAAAAACAAAAATGGTGAATTACGACATGATTTTCTTTTCCTTATGAAAACTTTCTTTCTTGAGAATGATGATGGCAACAGATGTACAAATGTGCTTGACACGATGGATGGATATATGGATTGTGATGAGTTGTACGAGCCCCCAATAAAATGATTAAAAATTATTTTTTCTTTCAACAATTTACTTTTTGTGCATTCAAAATCTTAGCACTGTTAGGCTAAAGACAATTCCAGTATTAGTTAGTTTGAAGACAAAAGAATTCTTGTTCATAAGAAAGGTCATATGATAATTCTAGGGTTAAATTCTTAGGAACTTCCATGTTATTTTCCACGTTGGCATCCTTACGCATTTTTTAATGTAAGTCTACAGTGTCTCCTAGTCTCTTGCCTTTAAAAAAAGACTATATTAAGTATTATTTAAAGCTAATGCTCTGTATTGCCACTAAGAATATACTTTATTCTACAATAGAGTGAAATTCTCAGGAGCTGCTTTGGTATTAAGAGCAGTTTTCAGTGTTGAATTCTTTGTAAATCTTTATGGGAGTAGACTGCCTCTTCTTTACTCCAAGGACTGGCTGGGAGTTTAGGCGGACTCTGTGGTTAGCAGTGCAATGCTTAGTGGTGGACAGCTCCACCAGGGCTCCTGGCCACAACCGCTCTCATCTCATGCATTCAGTCAATGCCAACTCATAACGACCCTAAAGGGCAGGCTGCCCCTGTGAGTTTGTTTCAGAGGCTGTAACGCTTTATCGGAGTACAAAGGCCTATCTTTCTCCCTGGAGTGGCTCGAGAGAAAGGCTCGTGAGGCTGTCTGATCCTGTAAAGACTGACGCTTTTGGAACGGACTTGATGGCAGGAGGTTTGGTTTTGCTTTGGTTTTATAATGCGGTAAGATTTAATTCAAATATCAGGCAAAAATTAGCTCATTTCAATGATACCTGCAAGTATGATATACCGAAAAGCAGCCAGTGAAAACCCTTTGGATCATAACAGGTGTATCCTAAGTGATTGTGGGGCTAACACAAGGCTGGGCGGTGCTTTATTTTGCTGGGTGTAAGGTCACCACTTGTTGGGGCCACCCCAAGAGCAGGTTATAACAACAGTGGTTCCAAGAGTTCTTTTTTAAAAAAAGTCATTTTATTGGGGGCTCATACAACTCTTATCACAATCCATCCATCCACCCATTGTGTCAAGCACATTTGTACATTTGTTGCCATCATCATTCTCAAAACATTTTCTTGCTATTTGAGCCCTTGGTATCAGCTCCTTATTTATCCTACTCCCTTCCCCACCATCCCTCTCTCATGAACCCTTGATAATTTGTAAATTATTATTATTTTTTTCATATCTTACACTGACCACCTTTCTATTGTCCATCCCCCAGGGAGGGGGTTATAGGTAGATCATTGTGATCAGTTTCCCCTTTCTCCCCCCACCTTTCCCTTTCCCTCCTGGTATGGCTATTCTCATTATTGGTCCTGAGGGGTTTATCTGTCCTGGATTCCCTGTGTTTCCGGCTCTTATCTGTACCAGTGTATATGCTCTGGTCTAGCCAGATTTGTAAGGTAGAATTGGGATCACGATAGTGTGGGGGTGGGGTGGGGAGGAGGAAGCATTAAAGAACTAGAGGAAAGTTGTATGGTTCATCAGTGCTATATTGCACCCTGACTGGCTCCTCCCCTCCCTGTGACCATTCCGTAAGGCAGCGGTTCTCAACTGCGGGTCACAACCCCTTTGGGAGTCAAATGACCCTTTCACATGGGTTACAGTAGCAAAATTAGAGTTCTCAACCTGTGGGTGGCAACCCCTATGGATGTCAAATGACCCTTTCACAGGGGTGACAGTAGCAAAATTACAGTTATGAAGTAGCAACAAAAATAACTTTATGGTCGGGGGTCACCACAACATGAAAAACTGTATTAAAGGGTCGCAGCATTAGGAAGGTTGAGAACCACTGTGTAAGGTGATGTCCAGTTGCCTACAGATGGGCTTTGGATCTCCATTCCACACTCCCCCTCATTCACAATGATGATTTTTTTTCTTCTTTGATGCCTGATCCTATCGATACCTCGTGATCACACAGGCTGGTGTGCTTCTTCCATGTGGGCTTTATTGCTTATCAGCTAGATGGCCACTTGTTTATCTTCAAGCATTTAAGACCCCAGATGCTATATTTTTTGATAGCCGGGCACCATCAGCTTTCTTCGTCACATTTACTTATGTACCCACTTTGTCTTAGGCGATTGTGTCAGGAAGGTGAGCATCATGGAATGCCAGTTTAATAAAACAAAGTGTTTTTTGCATTGAGGGAGTACTTTAGTAGAGACCCAGTGTCCATCTGCTACTTTAGTACTAAACCAATAAATATATGCACATAGATCTATTTCCCCATTGTCACCCAAGAATCCTTGAGGTCAATTCCAACCTCAGAAGTTTCTTAAGAGCCGGTGACTAATTTTTGCGATCCCTTGAAGTTACTGTGTTCAAATCCCTTCTTGGCTTGCCCAGATATTCATTTTGTATATTTTGACGTTGTCCTTCCTGAGCCAGCTTTGTACTTAAAAAATAATAATGCTTAATTCCCTACCGTTGTATCCTTGTGTTTGTTAATTAACTGTGGCATTCGCACTGCCATCAAGTAGATGCTGACTCACAGCAACTCTATAGGGCAAGGTCCCCCTGTGAGTTTCCAAGACTAACTCTTCATGGTTCTCCCAGGAAGGAGCTGGTGGTTTCGCACTGCAGATCTTGTGGATGGCAGCCTAACTCGTAACCACTATGCCACCAGGGCTCCCCTTTGCCATGCCATTAGTGGTATGGGGGGAAAAAGCCAGCCATCGAGCCTGGTGTTCTAAGAAGATATTTAGAAATAGGTTCCAGGCTTCCAATGTTTTGTTTTGTTTAGTTTTGTTTTAAGTTAAATTATTCTAAATCTTTGCTTTCTCTCTTAAGGCTTCCAACTTGGCCATTTCCTTTACAAAAACAAAATAATGTCATAATATATTATGTCTTCTAATTTTCTACTAGCTTATTTAACTTAATGATTTCAAGGTTTAGAAATACTCTTATGGAAAGATTGGAAAAAAAGAAAGATTGGAGAGGAAGATGGCCAGATCTTTTCTGGGAATGTCTACTAAGATAACAATGTAGTAAAATTGTGCTAGCCTTGTACCAGGCTAAGTGGGAAAAGAGGAGTTTGAATTAATTTAGATGAAAGTGACAACATAAAACACATTCTGCGTATGCCTGTGAGTATGATAACAAAGTGTCTTCCAAATTTGCAATTTAAAGTCTTAAGAGAATAAATTAAAAATAGCTATTGACAAAAGCATGAGTTATTTATATTTATATGTTTATACACACATATATATAATATACAAAATTTATACATATACACACATACACAATGCTCTTTTGTTTGTTTTAAAATGAGAAAACAAGTCCTTTCTGCCCTCAGGGTCTATACACAGATGTACAGAGTGGGGTATGGGGAAAAGGAAGATTACTAAGAAGTAAAGTCCTAACTGCTTAACATGCCCTGAAGTCAAATACACAGGGAATGAGGTCTAAAGCAGTTACCTTTACTGCAAAGTAGGGAATGTGAACAATTTGCATAAGAAAACATGGGCGTTAGAACTGTCAGGGGCTTAGGAAAGGAGAAGAAAACCTGCTGACAGCATCATAGCAAATTGACCAAAAATCAGACCAACATTAAATGGGAAGGAAAAGAGGTAAAGCTTAAATCTCAAAACTTTTCCAATGGATAACAAGACAAGTTTATATAAAATAAGGTAATTTTGTAACTAAATGAATAACTCAATATAAATATCAATAATCTATAGTACGAATACTTATGAGTCTGCATATTGAAGAGATTGCCTAGAATTCCTAGCTAGATCTGAAGATTTAAAGTAGCTAATGAGAACTCAGAGGATCCCTGGTGGTGTAGTGGTTACGTGCTGGGCGGTTAATCATGAGGTCAGCAGGTCAAAACCACCAGCCTCTCTGAGGGAGAAAGATGAGGCTTTCTACTCTCATAAAGGTTTATACTCTTGGAAACCCACTGGGGCAGTTCTAACTTGTCCTATAAGGATCACTATGAGTCAGAATCAACTTCATGGCAGAGTTGTGAGAACTCAAATTTCTTCTAGGTAATGTACCCAGAGTGAACCAGG